TCTTATTCTCGACCTGTACGCATTTATCAACCTTCGTAGGATTAGCAACCACTTTCACATCAAACATACTAGGGGATCGTGGATGATTGTCGATGTCTTGGGTAGTCAGACTGTTTTCCCTGCTAGAAACTGACCTAGTCTTGTGATTGGGTTTTCAAGGTTTTCCCTGCTCGCCGCCATATAGATGCCGGGTGAGAGAAGCAGCTTACTTTTTTAGGCTTTTATTTGGGACAGTATTGTTTGATACCAGTCATTCTTCCTTTGATCCATATAAGTCAGTCGATACTGAGCTTATTTGGTTTGTCTATCGGGAGAGTGGATTCTGTTTGATATGCGTCGACCATGTTCACTAGTACTGTTTTTAGTGATATTTAACATTTAATGAGCCTCAGTTAGCAGGCCGTTTGCCCTTGAGCGGTACTGCTGACTGAACCACACATTCAAAATTATTGCGCTACCGGCTTCTTGTGTCTCAATCCCAAGGTTTTGTTATCTCCAATTTCAGTCGATTGCTTTCATTCTAATATGTAAGTGCATCCCATAAGGTTACTAAGTTGTGGACTCACTTTTTATCCAGATTATTTCACAATCCTTTAGCACACAAAGTACCTTCATTCTAGATCCAAACATAGAAGTTTGGATATATCCAAATCTGAACCTTAAAGAACTACATCTAGATGGTTTGTCGTTTGTTCTCAGTAATTACAGATCCACCGTCTGTCTGAATTATTCCAAGGCACACTTAACAGCCAACAAATAATGTTCCATAGTCTTTTCATCTCGTACGATTCCGTGGTAAATCTGAAGAGTGGGAATGCCACACCCAGAAAATAGAACTAAGTGATTTGCGGCTCCATGTTTCTGCAAAGTGAGTAGCCGCACGAGAACTGTCGAGTGCACATCACTCGTCACTTTTTCCCCACACCGTAATCTTATGCTTAGTTATCCGCCTTATCATGAATTCCCCTGCATATATCTTAGATGTCTAGTCGGCCTTTTTGCGGGACGCAGTTGTCAACTACATGTCCAACTCTCCTTTGCCTGCCTTGCGACTGGCAATAACTCCAGAAGAGCTATAGGCCGGGTTTGGGGAATCCCCTAAACCATAGGGTCTTGTGCCACTTCCCAAAATTAGACAAAACGTTTACCGAGATTGGGTGATTCCGCTTCATATCTTTGAAAGCCTTTGCAATTTCTGGTCTGTTGCTTAACAACCATCCAGTGCAAACCCCTATATTCTTCGAATCCAAAATTAGTTACACAGGAAACGTCTTCTGCATTTATCTTATCCTAAGCAATCCTTCCCGCAGTATATTCATAACCCCTTAGTATCGTGTTTTCTTTGCAGTGAAGCTCTTCACACGTAAATATCTGGAAGTGGCCCACGCAGCCATACATTACTGGTGACCTATCAGTAAATTTGTGACGCAATTTGCGGGCTCACTGCTTCTCCTCTTCGAGTATCACTGCGATAGTCGAACCACTTAACCCTAATCAGTTCTCCAAAACACTATTAATTGTTTGATGTGGGAATCTCTTTCGGAAGGGCGATTGTCGGATGGTCCATATATTCCTAAGTACTAAGCCTGCTCTAGATGGCTTCTTGTAGAAGTAATTTATTGGCGTTGATTGTGATTTTGATTACCACCGTCATACTCCCAGTTCTATTCATAGTAAAACTGAGACGTTAATGATACAAAGTGCTGATAGGGTTTACTGCCGGATGTTTAGCGCAGTAACCAGGTTGCTTTTTGACATATTAGTATCACAGGACATTTTAGATTACATTACCACTAGACGTGGGTATGAAACGGTCTCGGTAAGTTACACTCGCATTCCTATCCATAAACAATATTGAGCAACCAAACTAAAACGGAAAAACTGTCAGTCAAGGCAAATATGTCTAACTAGGACTGTTGATAGTAGTAACCTAATGTAGCGTAGTGAGATTTACTGTCAAATTCTGAGAGTAGTAGACAGATTTTCCCAAAGTCTTGCTGCTAGTAAGTTAGGTATATTATAACAGATTTCGATTACTCCCGCTGTCAAAGCAAGCCAATGTCTTAGAAATTTATTTAATCCCAATTGTTAAGTGTCCTTTGTATTGGCATTTTGTCAGTGGAAATATTAAAACAACCTCTGCAACGCATCCAAAAATGGTCTCGGATGATTCTTCCCGAGTACCCAGTTAGTATCACCGCCCCTTACATGTTAATTGTGGGTAGAACTGTAAAATGTGAATGTATCATTGCCAAGGTTTGACTTGATAATTTCGAACAAATTGAGAATTAGATAGATTGCTATAATGAATTGATATATTTCTAATATCCAAATGAGTAGGAAAACTAGACTTCCGACGTGTAAGCCACTTTAGAAAATAAACAAGGTGTGCATTTACGCTTTGTTGAGGATCTAGACTTACGGAAACGCCAAACGCTGCTTCGATTTTAGCTCCGCAGCCATGTGACTTTTGAAAGCACTCCGTATATCCCCTAGAAAAAACTAATACATGTTAGAACGTTTAGGGCGGACCCAAATGCCCTGGTACAGCCGAGAGTGGGAAGAGTAATCTCTCCCTCTCGAAATGCTCTCACATGACCACGTGCATATAACTACTACCAGGGAAGTTCTACTCACTGCCTTCTCTCACCAGGGTGTTGTTTTCGGGATTGAGAAGACGAAAAGCAAATGTCCATCTTAACTGGGTTGATGGACACGGACGGCCTATCAAACTAATGGTGTACATGGGATCCAGGATCCTGACGGGACAAACGGCGTATGAACCAATTATTGGTCACCGGCTACCATGGGACTGCATCTCCTTACATGGACCCACTACCTTGTGGATTGGACCTCCAGGTCAAAGGCTCTGGGTGTGGCCCCCTAAGAAAATAGCTTGCTTCGGTTTGGGCACCCGGACAGTACCTCAGCTTTCACATAAATCGAATGATTTATGTGTCGCATATGTATTTGATGCCTTCTTGTGCCAATGTTTGTGTTTAAATAAATAATAAAATAAATAGAGCAGCTCTTAGAAAACCGGTTATAAAACACCTATCAAGTAAGCTCTAACTACTTTATATAGGTATAAACAAGAAGCAACACTAGTTGGCCTGCCATTGTGCAAACCGAAAACTAGACCCCTGAATTAAGTAGTTTCTAGAGTAACTAGTCTTAAGTTTCGCATTGTCATACACATGTAAATCTCCGTTTACAACTGAGTTAATAGCTATTTGGTAACAACGCTTTATATGACTAGGACCAGTCTCCTTTATTTAAAGACTTCAACCAGAATATAAAACTCGTCCGAATTCAACATCACAATTTGGAGTCCTGTGAGCGTTCGCGCCTCTGGCGTTTATATTAGATATGACCTTTGTTTTTAATTGACCAACAGAGATAACACTGGCTAACCAACCGGAATCAAATGCTCTTAGTTTGATTACTTCTATAAATACGTTTAGTTACGATTTTAAACTAATCCTCTATATTAACTCTTAGTTTCTGCAGGGAACTATAGCGCGATATGTTCTGGTCTCAACTACTACGATGTACTGACTGTTATTTTAAAACTTTTAGACCATACTTACTAGCTGGTAGTTTGCAAGGATGCTCTTCCTATGATTTGGGCACCTGGACGGCATTACAGATTACAAATTACAACATATTTACAATAACTCCGTCTGTAGATAACAAAAACTCGTTTCACTTGTTATCAATGGTACGAAAGTAAGTGATACACCTAGCTACCATTGTATCACAAACGCTAACGAGATAAAGTACTATTATTATCCAAGGAACTTTGTTTGTGGTATTTATTTGAGACTACATTGAAACAATGAATAAGTATTCCAAGTGGTAAATCACTTGTGAACCTTTATTAATCAAATTATATAAAAATCTCTAAACGCCACTTAAGTCTGCTAACACAATAGACTGAAATTTGTTTAATGTACCTGGCCCTATGTTTTAGCTGACTGACTGAATTTAATAAGGTCAAGACATGACTTTGTTCCAACACTCTATTGACTATCGAGTTACATCTTGTACGTGGATACACGACCTTGCTGTGATCTTCGAAACATCCTTAGCCATGGGTTGTAGAATTATCAAGATAGCTTTACGTCGACAATATCGGCACTAAATCCTCTATCGTTTTCCTCCCCTTGGTTTCTGAGTTTTAATATGTTCTTCGGGATCACTTCGTTCATGATTAGCCATTACTGATGACAGCATTCGCGTGACCATTGGTTATTATCCTGGGGGCTTTCTCCTACTATGTTTATTCAGGGCACTAGCTGATATGTACTGCCACTGTTCTAAATATTTGACAAAAAAGTTCCACAGGCTAATACAATATAAGTTCATTAGCGTTTCCCCCATCCGTGTTTGACTAATGCCTCATTCTTTAAAGTTCTATTGAGCATCATATTTAGTGTTCAGTTCTGTAATTACAAAAAGGACCTTTCAGTTAGTCATGAGTAACGTAAACTACATATATGTATGGGTTGCCACACAACACTTAAGTAATAAGGGAGTTAGTGTATTTCTTCACCACGACCAATTGTGCTGTCTCATGTAGTATTAAATATACATATATCATTAACTCAGTAAATACAGTACAAAATTAATGGATTATGTGAACCTAGTTATATGTTTAAATACGCTAAATCCATTATTTTACTTCTATACATTTCATTTTTAGACATAATTAACAATGATAATACCAATACGTTGTTTTACGTGTGGAAAGGTTGTTGGTGACAAGTGGGAGAGCTACATTGGTTTGCTTCAAGCTGAATATGCTGAAGGAGATGCTCTGGATACCCTGGGTTTGAGACGTTACTGCTGCCGACGCATGCTTCTTTCACATGTTGATTTAATAGAAAAGTTACTAAACTATTCACCTTTACAAAGATAAAGAACTGTAACAATTTAAGGAAATTATATACTAAAACTTGAAATCAAATAAAAAGTAACATGTTCATACATCTGGATGTTTAATTCCCGTAATACCAACGCCGTAATGCGTCGAAAATTCCTGAAGACTTGTTTTCTGATTGGTATTCTTTCATGGATGGGCTTGGGTCCATAATTAGTAAATCTACAATAAACATCAAGACAGTCTATCTAAGAATTAAAATGCTTAACGACCTGGAGCCTAACAGGATAACGTATCAATACATTATATTACAGGTCAAAATTAGTAGCTTGCAGTACACCGCAGCCGTCGTTTAAATTTTAATGAAGTTATAGGAAGCGGTTCCTGAACATATGAATTTTCCTATTCGGAAGGCTTTAACCTTTTAAGCTTCCATTCATCAAGACTAGGATATCTAAATTAGACCACAAATACTAAGCACAGCTTCCGAAATAGGGTGGAAACTTCTGCCGCAATCAAATATTCACTTGCCTTGCGGCATCTTTTTGTGCTCGTTAGGTGTTTCTAAGGCAAGGCTTTTAAATAATCAGCCTCTGAAGGTCAAAACGACACCGGACAAAGTTGCTTCAAATACTTTGCGCGGAATTTGAGTTATGTAAATTGCAGTTAAGGTTGTATCAATAGACAACGTCCATAAAGCGTATATGAAGTGATTCAGACCAAAAATCCCTAGGCACCGAACTTAAGTTATGGTGAGGAAACCTCTATGTAGCGAGATTATTAATGTGGAAGTTGCTCACAGGATTTTATCTTATTAAAAGCTGATAAGCACCCACCTTACAAAACCATGAAGAGTGACTTGTCCTTTTGTCTTATCCCATATTTGTGTGGAATGATAAGTATTACTGACAGTTTGTAGAGTAGAAAGTATACTGCCAGGTACTTTTGGAACATATCGTAAACCATTTTAGCGTTAGGCTACGTGTAACGATTCCACTAGGCATTGTTGGAAATAACATGTTCGCTAGTAAACCGAAGTCACAGAGTATTTGGGAAATCAAAAGTGTCATCTTTAAAATCTTAATCACATCTGCTTAAATAACCATGTGAACTGAAAGAGTACATGAACAGAACTTCAGATCATTCAACTTTATGATCATTTGGTTGACCATCCAATTATGCAAATATTACAAATCAGACTACGTAGTGAGTTTACAGATACTCGACTATAAAGCAACCAACATAGTATGATTACTAATTTGCATAACATTTCACAAGGAAGTTGGACATACTAAAGCACTCAAATGGAAATTGAAATTTGAAGACAATGAATTTAAGGACCTCTCACCTTCACTATTCGCAGTTTGGGATTGTTGACCATCAGGTCTCACATAAATAACATGTTTCTTTTCCCCATCAGATGACCGTTCAATCGTGGTATGAACTTCAGTACCATCTGGTTCACGAACCACTCTTTTCTGTAACTCTTTCACTTCCTATAATCTCCAAAAAAGTACGTATCGAGATGAGTTTTAACATAAATTTGACTGCTATCAGCCAATAGTTTCAAAAGTAAGCAATGAAATCACTGAAGAAACTTTACACAACTGATGAAGTAAAAAGATATTCTTATAAACAGTTACACTTTTACATTCAAGAACTGAATTATAAAACTAAGTGCAACTAAACAATTTTGCGTGTCATCCTTGCGCAGGGACTATGCTAATCTCTGTATCGTTCCAATTTTAGTATATGTACCGCCAAAACGAGTAAATGGAACAATTATTGCACTAACCAATGTCAAATATGGAATTTCTAGAGTATTATGTTTAAATTTACTATTATATTCAAGACTAGCCGAGTATTTCTTCAAAGAAATATTACTTTCTTATAGGATTAATTTGATCTCAAGAGCGATTATATTTTCCTGCTCTTGTAGTTTGAAGTGATACACTAGGCTATGAATAGCTAATAAGCTTAAAAGTTATCAGCGGTGACTCAGGGAGGGAAACTCAGTGTACATCAACAGACTTTTAAACTGACGAAATCTGTATTAAGTAATCAGATATATATTAATGATGATAAATAAATTGGTTTTAAACATCAAAACTTACGCCGTTATTTATTATGAGATTTTTGCTGGTGAAAGAACTGACCCAACTACGTACTGATGAGTCACGCTTCTCAGAGTACGGGGCATTAGCTGGTTGACCATCAATGATAATGTCTCCTTTTTTAAAGTCAGGAGGATCTATTTCCCTCTAGAATTAAGAGTATCAAATGAATTAACTCTCTTGAGTAGTTAAATAAACTCAATAGTTTAAACAGGAAATATACCTTAAGCCGAAAAAGGCTGACTAACTGTTCCGATTACTTCATTGGGACAACTATTGAAATGATAGCCTGTGTTACAAAATGTGACTACACATTATGGTGTTATATATATAAATTCACGAACTTACTTTCTCTGTGATAGCTTATCGAAACTTCTGTGGTCATTTTTAATACCATCTACTATCCTGACATACAATGGTCCAAATAGGACTTTATTCATAATAACCTTCTTACAGCACATTTTACACTACAAGTTTCCTTGGGACACAGTAGATATTTAGGATAGGCTCGACGGTGTCTTAGTGGTCATCAATAGGTAATTAGTCATGGTGCATCAAAAATTGAAAACCACAAGGCACCTTTACATTTATTGGAGCAAGTAACTGTGTGGGACAGTAGGCACCTTCATGAATAGTCGACTACAACCAAGTAGAGGAAAAAACGAAACCTATTTTGGTAACATGCTCCATAGTTTGTCCTGACTGAGTAGAGCATAAAATTCACGATTACCAACTCGAATTACAATTACTAGTACTCCAACTACTGTGTTTTATTACAACTTATGTCGGCTGAATATCGGTACAACCAAAAACAGCTAACTTCCTAATTTAAACAATATGCAGAACAGTGATAGCCTGAAGGTGACGTTGTAATAGATTTTGCAAAATTCTCAAACTAATACCTATACCAACAACTAATTTGAAAGACAAAGGGATGTTAATCAGTTTTTAAAAATTATGTACGACCTCACTGGGAGCGTTGGATTTTATTTTTTCCCTCGCTTTAGAGGGAATTTGTACTTAAAACATTAAGCAGTTTCTGATATTTCCCTCTGCACTACAAAAAAAACCGAAAGCCTTCGAGTGACCTCAAATATTTCCAATAAATTTAATTATTTATTCACGTACTTGTTAAGCTTTAATCTTTACAATATTACTAAAAATATTCGGAACCTAGAATATTATGGAGAAAATCTTATCTGACTTCCAGCGATTTGCCTTTTACTAAGATATTTAAAGCATTTCTAACCCGTTCTCTAGAGAACTCAAAATAAGATTATGAGTTAGCTCTGTGAATATGACAATCCTAGGATGTAGAGTACAACTCTTGATCAGATAGTAACTGTTAGCGGGACAGAGATGGGACTGAAGCATGTTCCATGCACGATTGCGTTGGTGCACGCTGAATGGCTAATTCTTATCCAGTCAGCACTAGTCGACACTTGGAGAAGACTTGGAATCCCATGTAAAAGCTATAAATATACTAACGTTTTCCTTATTGTACTTCTTACTTCCATCTACACTTGTTATTTGGAATATAATTTTGTTCCTGTTCAACCGTGTTCTGATTTGGAGACTCGTCGAGTGTATTGGTGTCCAAGAATACTAAGCAATAGGAATAACTGGGTCGTAATAAGAAAGAAATATAAAAGTAACTGACAGTTACTTCGATAGTGTCTTTGGGAACGGTCGTTTGAAAGCTACGAAGACTATCAAGCGTTGAAAGTCCGTATTTATTTGTCATCGTCTGGAACAATTAGTGCATAGAAACTAACATTAGTCGACTCCGAGAACAATAAAGATTAGAGCAATCCACATAAGAACTATCTCGCCTTGGTTGTCGCGGTGACTGGTAACAGAGAAACTGATGAATGGGATAGCGGCGTGAAGTAATGGTTAGAAAATATCTATGTGTATGCTGATAATTATCATGTGCTTACTACTAACTAGCTTTGAGAGGGAATCCCCGGAGTTCTAATGTAAAACCATGAGCAGTGAAGCTAGTGTCGAAAGTGAGGCAATTATACACTGAAGACTATGGAATATGGTCGTGCAATATCGTGACTTGGTTGAAATTAGACATTAACACTTGTATACCGGCTCAGTTGCCCCCAAATGCCCTGGTATGACCGAAAGCAGGGTGGGTCCGCCCTCCCTCCCTACCGAAATGCTCTCACACGGCCACGCGCACACAGCCTCTGCCAAGGAAGTCCTACTCACTACCTTCTCGTGGCGGAGGTGTTGTTTACGAAAATAAGAGGAAGAAAAGCGAATGTCCGACGCCTTAACCGGATCCCAAACCAAATCAATGGTGCACATGGGCTCCAGTATCCTAAGGGAACAAACGGCGTATGAACCAACCGCTGGTCACCGGCTACCATGAGACTGCATCTCCTCACAATGCTCCACTGCCTTGTGGGTCAGACCTTTAGGTCAAAGGCTCGGGGTGTGGCCCCCTAGGATAACTACCTGCTTCGGTTTGGGCACCTGGGCAGTATCATAGCCCACACACAAATAAAATGAAAATGACAATATTTACTGAAAATTCTATTCATGCTTCGACTTACAGTCAAACAATTCACGTTATTATTATTATTTACCACGTCACTTATTCACTCTCTTTTATTTCCACTTTGTGTATCCTTATTTTTCGACTTACACAGCAGTTCGCCCATGGTGGAAACTCTGTTCTATCTAAACGATCTCGAGTCACTGACTGGTCGAAAATTGAATGCTACCACTGAACACGAATATTGAAAGTTTTTCTGAAACCACGTGCACCATTCAAACTGGCTGCCTTCAACGTTCGCACACTAATTCAGGTCGGACAACAGATAGGGCTGGCTATGTCTTTGGAAAGTCTTAATATTGATGTTTGTTGTCTATCCGAGACCCGTATTCAAGACTCTGGTGAAGTACTACAAATTCGCTCTCCATCAGCCGCTTCAAAAAGCTTGTTTTACGTGCGTTTATCCGGGGACCCTGTGGCATCTTCGTCTGGTCTTGCTGGCGTTGGTGTCGCACTAAGCGCTAGAGCTGAGGCAGCACTAATCGATTGAATCCCCATTAACAGTCAGTTATGGGCTGTTAGATTAGAGAGTTCCATCAAAGTGAGAAAAAATCGGCGTGAGAAACGATGTTTTTCGTCATCTCAGCCTATGTCCCGACAGATTGCAGCCCGGATGCAATCAAGGATGAATTTTACCACCAGTTAACTGTTCTTCTCCAGAAAGTGCGTTCGACAGATATTGTAGTACTAGCCGGGGACTTGAATGCTCAGGTCGGGCATCTAGGCACAGAAGAGAGTCGTTTAGGTGACCAATGGGAACTTGTTGGTCGCAAGACAGATAACGGAGACTGTCTACTGCAACTGTGCACAGATCACAACCTGTTTCTGGCCAGCACTAACTTTCGGCACAGTCATCGCTAATGTACCACCTGACGTCCTCCCTCTGCATCTCAAGCCTGGACTCAGATTGATCACATCGCGATCAGCTACCGCTGGCGTGGTTGTGTACAGGACTGCCGCTCCTTTTGGAGCACCAATCTGGACTCTGATCATGACCTGGTCTGCGCCAATCTTACCTTACTTTTCAGTGACCAACGAATTGATCGTCACTAAAGGATTGATGTTAGCAAGTTGGTTGAAACTTCTGTTGCTAGTAAGTATCGAACCAAGCTAGCTTCTAGGTTAGCTACCATTCCACCGAAAAGTATAGATGAGCATTGGTTGCAATTGCATGACGCCATGAAAATGGCGAGTAGAGCCGCTTGCGGCTTCGCGAAACATCCCGATTATAAGCACTGGTTTTTTTTAGGCTCCTTACGACTCATCGAAGCCCGTCGGTCTACTCCAGGTGACCGTGAGTTTGACCACAAACGAGGGATGTTACGTAATGAAATTGGGCAAAGCTAGCGTAAGGACCGAGAAACCTGGTGGTCGGAGCGTGCTCAGTCAGTCAGTCAGTAACAACGTAGAACTTCGTACGTACGTACATCAGTTCGAGTTGCCACACCACATTAGCACGCAGATGCAGTGGTTGATTCAAACCCCGTAGTGGTAGAGGTAATAAGAGTATAATCAGTAATCGGGAAAATTAGTGTTTCGAGAGTATACTACAGTGAAATAAATTTGGGAAAAAAAGAGATAAGGAGGAATAAGATCAAAATTTGGGAGAACACAAAGAGTGTATGCACCTGCGCCATTGCAAACGATTTTGAGCCATGTCATTCAAGGTCTCTAACCATCGGTTGCTATCATCTCGTGGTCCCCAGCCAGGTAGTCTACACCTACCAACATGACTCAGTCCACTTGTCAGTGACTTCATGGACTTGTGCCATGTTTCGGTCTGGCCGCCACTAGCTTTCTTCCAACCTACTCCTATACCACTGAACATCGCACGTCGAGGCAGTCGGTCGTTGGGCATACGTAACACGTGTCCCAGCTACCTCAACTGATGAAGATTTACTACGTCATCAATTGATTTACCATCCTTACCTAGTACCCGTTTCCTAACAACTGCGTTACTTACTCGATGGTCCCAGGATATACGAGTAATGTTTCGAAAACACCTATGATCAAATACTAGTAACCTACGAATATCCTCTACACTTACCGGCCATGTTTCACTGCCATAAAGTAGGACGGAAAGAACTGTTGCGCAGTAAACACGTCCTTTGGTTGATACACGGATAGTTAGGCGTCGAAGTATTATTGAAGCTAATATTTTAGACACTATATTAGTCAAACTGATTCCTCTGTGATTGTCACAAGAGGACTTTTGTCCTTTCTTATAGACTGGCACAATCAGTGATTGAGACCAGTCAGATGGGATTACGTCCAGTTCCCAAATTCTACCTAAGACCTCAGTTAATCTCACTGCTAATACTGGACCACCATCCTTAAAAATCTCAGGAGTAAACCTGTCAGGGCCTGCTGCTCTCCCTCGTTTCAGATTTCCTATGGCTTTTTCAACTTCGTAAAGAGTCGGAGGACCTACATTAACTTGCCATTCAGGTTGACTGGAGATCGTGGGAAACCGAAGTGTGGCTGAAGGCCAGTTGAACTGATCCCTAAAGTGTTCTGCCCATCGATCCAATCTCCTGGATTGAGAATGAATAATATGTCCATCTTTCTCTGAGATTGTTTCGCTAACGGTCGGGTTCCTAATTCCGGTTTCCTTAACGAGTCTGAACAATTGTCTGCTATTACCTATTGCCGCTGCCTTTTCCATCTCTCTTGCTTTCGCTACCCACCACTGTTCGCGATCATTGCGTAGACTTCTTGTCAGCTTGCGCTTAAGCTGACTCCGCTCTTCATTATGTTCAGAGCCAGGTGGAATGAGTTTCCGAGCATCTATCAGTGCGATAGATGCTGCTGAGATCCAGTGTTGCTCCCTAACCTTCTGGTTTACCTTACTAGCAGATATCACTGCTGTTTCCACAGCTTTTCGGATATCATTCCATGCTGCATCGGGGTGGGCATCACATACATGGCTGCCTAACTGTTTTCCTAGTTGTTCCTGAAATATACTCTTAGCTTGACTATCATTAAGTAGGCCCTAAGAGGTTTCCTTGCAGCGTCTTTCCTACGTCCAGTAAGACGCAAGCAAATACGCGCTCGCACTAGAGCATGATCTGAATCTAGGCATGTGCTCCAGAATGAGCGACAGTCTTCTATCGAGCCCCTCCATCGGTGGCTGATAGCGATGTGATCTATTTGGGTCCAACGTTGGGACGAATTAGGGGGTCGCCATGTTAAAAGATGTTTTTCCTTATGCTTAAAGTTAGTATTTGCAAGGAACAGGCGGTTATCTGAGCATAGCTGCAACAGACGGTCGCCATTATCTGTTCTTTGAGCCACGACACCATAAGATCCACCTAGGTGTCTTTCCCTATCGCTTAGTTTACCTACTTGAGCATTAAAGTCACCGGCCACTATTACTACATCCGAGCGCCTAGCTTTTCGGAGAAGGTCGGAAAGCTTTCTGTAAAACTCATCTTTTACATCATCTGAGCTGCAGTCAGTGGGAGAATAGGCAGAGACGACGAAGAGGCAACGACGAGTGTCCCTATCTTTCCGGATTCTTACTGTTCCGTTCAGTCGGACAGCGCACAAACGACTGTCTACTGGGATCCACTCTAAGAGAGCTAGTTCTGCCCTAGGACTCAATGCTATACCTACGCCGGCGAGGCCACGGGAAGCAGAATCAGGGCTTCCAGATACACGAAGCGTAAATCGAGTCGGTTCTTTATTTTGGCATGGTGAGGTCAAATGAATGACGCTACTCGGATCCTGTATGCGCGTTTCGGAGACGCAGGATTCTAAAGTTTAGCTAAGGAAGCCTGCTGTCCTATTTGACAGTGTTCGTACGTTAAAAGCTCCTACGTGTAGTTTAGAGCGTGGTTTCAGGAGACCAGGAATGGCGTTCCACGTACTCGAATCGTTTGCCCTAGCGGTGCGAGGTGATAAAGAGACGTGAGGAGGGTTAGTCATGGAGATAAGAGAGGTATTAGGAGGTGTAGGAAGGATTTGAATGTGACCAACTTGGTCTCTTGTGCTGTTACGGGTATGAGGGCTGATGTCACTTCCCGGCTGCCCACACCGTGGAAGGGTATTTCTTGAGGAACCTGAAAAGGAAATTGGATTAGTGTTGGTCTTGACGACCTGGGAGCGTGACCGCAGAGCCCAAGGGACAACTGCTTGAGGCCGGTCGCGCACGGCCTTTTTGTGGAAGGTTTTTGACGTGTTAGCTCCGTTCTTCAAAGGGCCTTACCGCCGGAGACGGAAATCCGTGAGGTAAGGTGAGGTGTGACATTTTTAGGGTCGACCTTTTCTAACCCCACCCCTCCTTGTGGGAAGGCAGCATCGCTGTCATGCTGGTTGTCCGAGGGAAACACCTTACTGCTGTCACACCCCTCTACAGTCAGCAGTACGACTTCGCCCTCAGACCTTGAGTTGCTGCTTTTAGTCTTACCGTTCTCCAATCGACCTGCCTGGCATGGTAGAACCTACAGGAACATATGTTCCAGCCAATATAGCTCGGTTGGGTCATCACGATAGGCAAGCCCGACCACCGCGTCAAGGTAGAAGCTTCGGTCGAGGTCAGCCCCAGCTCATTAGCAGCTGCTGCATCTCGTAATTACCGGAAGCTCTTCCAACTCATCCGAGCCACTGGCAGCAAGAAGTCTGGTGTGAGCGAAACAATCTACGGGGATGACGGGATGCCAATCACTAACATCCTAATTGGTTAATACTGACTGAATTACTGATGTCAACTACTACATCAACCTTCAATCAGAAGTGTTCTTGTTGGGACATGTAATGGGGAAGTTATTATTGTTACACTACCGCCCCTCGAAAAATCATTAAATTCACATACATGTTAAATTCATATTCGATTCTCTAAATACTACTAATTTAGCAGGTTACAGTTTGATGCAAAAATATTCCTGATAGGGTTTGCACTTCATCTTTACTCATCAAAAGTTGAAAATGGAAACTACAAGTAACAGAAATTTGTCTGATAAATAATCATAAGTGAACCATATACTCTGTTTTTTGTCTGAGATTTTTGCGCGATATAGATCTCAAGAAAATTGCTGAATAAATACAGGAGAAAATAACTAATATTTTATTACAGTGTATATGGGAATTTTCATGACAGTAAAAACCGAGGAATGGCTTTTAAATGAAAGTCACTGAACGCCTGTGTTAGATTTATACCAAAGTACATTAAAATATTACTTATACTAGTAAAATCACAAAATTCGGGTCATTACAATGTTACTCAAACTACAATTGTACACAGGAGTAGATTTAAATTCGCCGGATACGTAGTTGTTGGGGTTACCCAATCCTCAAATACAATTTATGAGGAAAGAAACCAATATCGATTTAAATAAACTTTCGTCTTATGATTTACTTTACGGCTGCAAAACGTGGCCGTTAAGAGTGTACTATAGTCGTAAGTTATTAGTGCTTGAGCATAAACGTCGTAGAATCATTGCTCGCATCTGCTGGGACCACCGGGTAAGTAATAGTGAGGTTAGACGTAGAATATTAGGGAATGATGGTAAGTCAGTTGATGAGGTTGTAATTCTTCATCGACTGAGATGGTTGGGCCACGTGTTACGTACGCCTGAACACCGATTACCACGACGCGCAATGCTGACTGATGTTGGGGATGGTTGGAAGAAAGTTAGGGACAGCCAAACCAAAACGTGGCATCAGTCCTTGAAGTCACTAACTTCTAATCTTAGCCATGTTGGTAGATGCAGGCTACTTGGGGTCCGCATGATTATCGTAACCAATGGTTAAAGACGCTGGGTGACATGGCTCAGAATCGATCACAATGGCGTCGGCGGATACACTCTCTGTTCTCACTTAACCTGTGAGATTAAAATTGCTTTATATCTTTCAACGAACTAATTCTTTCTTCCTAAACTATATCCTTACACACAATCTTTCTTTTATACATTGCTACCATTGAATTTGTTTATCTTGTTGTGCTAATGAGGTGTGGCAACGTGGATCGACGCATATGTGTGCGTGATCTTACGTTGTAGCTAACTGACTGACCACCATGGATAACTAAATAAGTCAATAAACTTCTTAGGCATAAGAAAAAGCATTAGAATTTGTTCATCTCTACAGGTTTAGAACAGTATAGATCCAGGTATTGGAAGACTAGGAATGCTAGTAAAGCGTTGAGAAGACTAGACAGTCATGTGAAAAACTGGTTATGGATTTAGAACACTGTCCGAAAAGGTTATTCTCGTATATAAAGAGGCGAACTCACAGAAGTGATGGAATTCAACAACTGTTGATACAAGAAAATCAGTTGATATTGGCAAGAGATGATGCCAAAAAGGCTGAAGATTCATCAGAATATCTTAGTAGTGTTTTCTACCGGCAATGAGAGACGACTAACAATTAATCTCGACCAGGGCGACTTGTCGATGGACCCTGTAGTTATTGAGAAAGGAACTGTCATAAGATTACTACATCTCAAACCAGATAAATCTGGTGGTAATGACGATATTCATCCTAGCATTTTGAAAGCTGGACCTCTGGTAAAACTGTCTCATGTCTTGGAAGCAATCGAAATTACCAAGAAACTGGAAAGACGCGATCATCGATTTGGTTCATAATACAGGGAGTGGAGACTTAGTTAACCACTATCGACCTGCCGGCCTTATTAATATGACTGTCAAACTAACGGGAAAAACTACCTAAATGACCATTCTAAACTATGTGGACGAATAACGTATCTTCAGGAGAGGCCTTTTTATGTTTGACAAGCCGAACTTCTACTAGCTTACCGTATACTGAAAAATTATATTGATGTCTTATATTTTCCTCTCATCTAGGACTGACCATATGAGAGGACACTCTAAGAAAGTTCAAAATGGAGATCAAGTCGTTTACGTCTGGAATTCGGTTTCCCGCACGTAGTAGTGTCACTGAAATTCTCTACCGAGACACGTAACATCAGCACCTGTTGATGCATTCAAAAAGATTGGACGTCGTGTTACGAGTTTCAAGAATTAATATAAGTCGACAGACCTTCTATTCTTACTACTGAAGACTTCTGGATTTGGTTTTACAAAGATGTAGAAACGTATAATCAGAGAACAAGAGTTAAAGTGCCTACCTACGTGCATAATCACGGGTCTTGTGAATCTGAACACATGATGCGACTCAAAAACAGAGTGGAACATACCATTGCATGCGAAATGAAGCATCTTATTCCTACTTAACAAACATCAATGTCATCCGGATTTCAACTTATGGACTTACCAAAGTCTCCCTGAACATTTTTCTGTCCATCATATCTGGTTTTACAAGTCTCCATAAAAGGGAAAAGGCATCCACGGCTCCGGCACTTGCAAGTAATCTGATTCATTCTCCTAAAATATGTCAGTTTTGTAAATAGAAGACATACCGGTCGGCGTAGCATTTCATCACGTGGTGACTGATTTCTGAACTTTGCTTTTATATTAAAACAATAGAATTTTAGCCCAAAACTTACGAGTAAAGAACCCTGAAAAGGTCATATCTTCAAATACTTTATGGAAATGTTCGAAAATCTCATCCATCTATGAGGTGAGTTTGAGAGGTAAATATAGAGATTACACTTTTCAGTTTTGTAAAACAGTTCATAAGTTGACTCAGTAACCACATAGAATGCACTTACATCGAGAAATGAAAGCGACTGACAACAATCAGTGGTAACAGGTGTGTTATTAGGATAATTCGATAATCGATACAAGTTGTCGTATAGGTTTAAAAACTACGCCTGATATCGTTACTCTGTCGTTATTGATCACTTCCTAAAATTATCTGTGCTATAAGTAAATGCATCTACCATGCTTTCTTCACCCATCTAAACTATTGTCTTCTTCTCTAGAGAGAAAGAATGGAGTATATATGCTAGTGTATAATGTAGAGTAAGAAATCATACTGGAGGAAATAAAAATTGTAGTTACAGCCCAACCGCCCACACAGGAATTTTACTTTATGGGCAGGAAGGGTAGTTAATTTCTTGCAATAATTCTAAACAATGATATTACCTCGTAAACGCAAATGCACTTAAAGACCCAATGGTGCATATCCAAATGTCTTCATCATTTCTGACTACAAAACCACAGACAAAAACCTCTCCATCATCATCCAGATAGCCAAACGAACTGTCTAGAGTTTCTTTATCTCTATGACTAATCAAGTATGCCATTCTTTCCAATAACTTTTGTCTTCCTTAACAAAGTATTCGTTACTTTGACGCACATCAAGCGATTGGGCATTGACGAGTTTGGTAAAAGTACCAACAAAATTCGTCAGGTACATTTGAAACATCTCACTGAAACTAGTCTAATAATGAACATCGACAATTAGGATAGTTATGACGCCTCAAGAGGAAAGCCGAGATTCTTCGGAAGCCATGAGTCAGACGCTCCTTCCAACAATCAGAGCAACAATTAATGTAAATACGTGGAATGTTCGACAAATGTAGAAGATTTGGGGGGCCAATAAAATCCCTACGGAAACGGGAGATACAACTTGACAGTGTTCGGAATCAGTGAAACCTTCGGACCCAATCTAGACAGAAAAGGATGGATTCGGGAGAGATGCTACTAGTCATGAAGAAGAAAATGCATTAATAGGATGGCAATCTCATGGATCCAGGATCACCAGAGCATCATTCAAAACGAAGAAGGAGGGGATTACAATGAATACTATTTACTGTTATGCACCCATCAGTGATAGAAACGACGACAATAAGGATCAGTTTTATGAGAGGCTGCAGTCGATCATAGCACAGTGCCTAGGAAACGACCTGACCATCCCAATGGGGAACCTGAACGCCAAAGTCGAAATGAACAACATCACGTATGGAGATGTCATGGAATGACATGGACTGTGGCTGAGGAACGAGAATGGTGGCAGATTCGCAACAAAGGGGTTATATGCGGCACAATATTCCCCTACAAACTCACGCACAAAGCCACATGGATCTGTGGAAATATGCATGACAAGCTTATTTTGTAAATGGTTTTGATGTTATTTGTATTTATACTGTCGGTTTTTCATAGCCTGTACATTTACCATTAAATGCTTGTGCGTGTTGTTTAATTGTATAACCATGAACACACTTCTTACGTCGTGTTACACTCATAGCATGACACACGCTGTCAACTACTAACAAATACACTGCTATACACATACCTCTTGTTCTCCATTGCTCGTGATTGTGTTAACCGAACTCTAAATCAACTACCGTCTACATTTATAGACTACAACCAAATTATACCATATTCCACGTTTGGTTATGTCACTGGAAGGACATCCATCTTACTGGAATCTTCAGTCATCTACAGTTGTGGATTTTGGTACCAAACTCAACCGGAACACGCACAAACCTGATGAATTAAGTAAAGTCTCTAATTTTTGTTGTGTTTATAACGTTTAACTGCTATATACTAACATTACAACTTGTACTTAATAACTCTGTTATCATTTTTGAGCTCATATTATTTGGTCCACCACAGATCTCGCCGTACTACACCACGGATAACGAGATAGATCATAATTTCATCAGTAAAAAAATCAGAAGGTCAATGGAAGACGTGAGAACTAGGAAAGGAGCTTCGGACCACCATCTGCATGTTGTCAAGATGAAACTAAAGCTAAAAATCAATGGAAAATTGAAGAAACAGCAATACAACAGTTAAATACAGCCTTCCTTTGACATACTGACAAACTCAACGAATAAGAGATCGCTTTTAACAACAGTGTTATGACCTTGAGATGTCTGACTTTTCTATCACGCGACTTATCTACCAATCCGAATACGACTTATACGAATCTTCACACTAGGCCAACCAATGACGTTCAACCGGTGTGGGCAGTTTAGCGTCCTTATTGGTCCTATGTCCTACGAGCCCTTCCACTTGAGTCCAGAACAAGATACCAGCTTCTGTAATATGAATCGAATCGTTTATTTCATGCATACTTGGTTTATATATCAATCACACAGACCGCAACGTACCATAAAATAGGAAATAATATTTGTACACAAATAAGCCAGAAAGTGGCTGTGAATGTGGGAGGCAGTAGTTAATAAACTGAACATAACTTAAGAAGCGTAAATCGTACAATAATAAATTATAGGTCAAAATAAAGCTTATAATAAGAGGAATATAAATATACATAATGTAATTGTTGAGTAGTTACACAATAAGAATATTTATAGAATATTAGTCCATGAATAGCCCTCGGAAGTTACCTGTTATTTAATCTCCACTCGGATATAACACCTCCCCCTTTTTTTTTTGAAAATTCCAACTTTAGATTCTGATTAAAAAAAGAACTATATGTGACTTTAAATTCCTCAACATTCTCCTCCTCCTCGAAATAATGTTGGGTCCTTATGTCTCCGAATTACAACTAATAGGACTTTGTTTAAACCATGTTTCTCGTATTGACTGGAGAATCCACTAAAAATGACTAGACGATGATGAACGACCTTTGATTTGAGTTCATTATTTTCAAATTCATTATGAATCTCGTTAGCAGATAACGAGTCATTAAGAAAGTCAACGTCTAACAGAATTAAATTAGATTTTTGGCCATCATTCGACTCAGCTGACATATTTCCCTCATTGTTATAAGAAGTTTCATCAAAATCATATGCATTATTCTGAGAATCAATATCTGGCACACTGTCATTAGAAATGGGATAAGTTGACTCAATATAAAATTCTGTCTTCCGGTGATTTTGAGTAACATCTGGTACAATTTGGTTCATCGTGTTGCTCCAGTTATTTTCTGAATACGAGTCACCATAGCTTTCTCGACTAATAGCACGTGGACCACAATTTTGTTCGAGCTGACGTTTATTTTCGCAGCTAGACAGTACCAGTAGTGTTTCATTTGATTCTGGACTCTGGGCATCATCTACAGGATCTGGCTCCTGATCATCTGGTATTGTCACAACTTCATGTGCATTTAGCACAATATTTTCTTGCTCTGAGCTGGACACGTTACCAATATTACGTTTTCCTTCTGGTATACAGGGATTTGAATCCTGCACGGATATGCTTCTGAAATGTCCATTACTGCACCATTATCTGCATCATAAATAGATTTCTTATTTTCTGCTTGAATGCAAAGTCTGCCCAAAACTGTTACAAATAGCTGTTGTTGCAAGGCAAACATCTTCTGCTGGTGCTGTAATATTAACCACAACTGTTCGAAAGAAATCGACATTTTTTTTTGCCAATAATATTAGCTCCAAAAATCACCGGCAATTATACAGCTAATTTATTTCCAAAATCTGAGTCACCACTTGTATTATGTTTTTTTTGCCAAAATCCCCGTCGCCAATTGTTATGACCTTGAGATGTCTGACTTTTCGATCACACGACTTATCTACCAATCCGAATACGACTTATACGAATCTTCACACTAGGCCAACCAATGACGTTCAACCGGTGTGGGCAGTTTAGCGTCCTTATTGGTCCTATGTCCTACGAGCCCTTCCACTTGAGTCCAGAACACAATACCAGCTTCCGAATCAGAGCAGATCGTTTATTTCAGGCATACTTGGTTTATATATCAATCACACAGACCGCAACGTACCATAAAATAGGAAATAATATTTGTACACAAATAAGCCAAAAAGTGGCTGTGAATGTGGGAGGCAGTAGTTAATAAACTGAACATAACTTAAGAAGCGTAAATCGTACAATAATAAATTATAGGTCAAAATAAAGCTTATAATAAGAGGAATATAAATATATGTAATGTAATTGTTGAGTAATTATACAATAAGAATATTTATAGAATATTAGTCCATTAATAGTCCTCGGAAGTTACCTGTAATTTAATCTCCACTCGGACATAACAAACAGGTTCAAAGCCTTACAAGGTCTACTCAAAGAAGAGGAAATTATTAAAGCGGAACTGATCCAGTAAGCACTAACTTCAACGTATCAAGGGGTTCTTGGCCTCAAGAGTATCATTAGGAACGGATCTCTTTCGAAACACTGGACAAGATTCAAGAAAAGAAGAAGGAAACGGCAATTAACAAAGGTCGAACAGGAACAGAGAAAGTCATGGCACAACTGAATACACGGAAGCAAACAAACAAGTGAAGAGGATTAGAGTTGACAAGCAAACATACGCGAAATACCGACCAATGACATCGGAGAAAGCTGAAAGCGGAAGTATGAGACAACTATACAACACAACGAAGAAACTAGCAGGGAAATATGATAAACCAGAATGACAAACTTGGCGAGCCATTCACTGAGATTCAAGAACAGAAGAACAGATGAGTAGAACACCTTGAGGAACTCTTGAATAGACTGGTCCCCTTGAACCCACCGGACGTCGAAGCAACACACACAGACTCCTCTGTAGATGTTATTCCACCTACCATCGGAAAAATCAACATGTCTGGTCATCAGACAAATCTAGAGTTGGAAAGCGGTAGAACCTGACAACACACTACCTGAAACACTGAAATATAGCATAGCAGCAACTACAAACATGCTCCACATTCTATTCAAGAGGATTTGAGAGGAGGAACGAGATC